CTGGAGGCTGAACAATGCAAGGAAAATACATGCAAAAATAAATCAATCAATTGACCGAGAGAAGGGCGAACTCACCGGCACCGGCGCGGAGCGGAGAACAGGGGGCGCTACGGAAGAACAGTGACAGCAAGCTTCGCCGGAGAAGAAACCAGATCTACCGCCGCAGAGGAAAACCAGAAATGGGGAAGAAAGGTGAGGCGCGGGCGATATGAAGGAGTATATTCGTGGCTGTCGAATATACAGAAAAAACGATGTCGTTCCCATAAATAAACATATTCGACAGCCAAAGGCTGTCGAATATATTTGTATATTCGACAAAAAAGTTGTCGAATATGAATACTGTTGATTAAACAAGAAATTTCCATTATCATCGTCAATTTTACATCTTCGTCAATCTTTCTGTCGATTATGTATACATTTTCGACAGAAATGTGGCTGTCGAATATAATATTGTCGCTTATGCCGCGTTTTCCAGTAGTGATACTTGAAAAGTCACTATTTGAAGGGATATATCCCTCTAAAAAAACACCATTTCTTAAAGATACCTTTTGATTGCCAATAGTGCCATATCTGATTTCCAGACATATCTTTCCAAATTATAATTTAATAAAATAAAATAAAAAATCTGAAAAAAAAATAAAAAAATCCAAAAATAATAAAAAATTAAAAATGTTCTGGCAGTTAAGCCCCAAGGTGCCCCAAGTCCCCAAGTGCTGATTTTTTGACTATATATAAAGGGACAAAGCCCAATTTCCCTTAGGTTTCACTTTACTTAATTATTTATTGATAAAGAATAGGCATTTATAAACTCCTTTAAGTTTCATACTTTTTTTTTACGTGGAATATCAAACATTTACAAACTATTCAACACATAAGGGAGTGCAAAACCACTTCAATCAACACGGAGGATTCGTGGGCAAAAAGACTTGGCATGTGACATGGCAGGTAACATGGTTTGCAGTAATCTGGATAGTATGGTTATGGAGAAATCAACAAGTTTTTGGCACTGTAAAATACAGTCTGGATGAGATAATTGAACTTGCCAAGCATAGGTTTTATTACTGGCTTAAAAAGCTAAATTATTCCTAGATTTGTTATTAGAAGTTTGGAGGTTGAACCCCCAGAATGCCCTCAAACCAAATTAGTAGGCTATTTGGGAACTTTGTCTTAGCATTTTGGTTGAGAAGGCAAGGTAATGAATTTTGATTAATGGTTAAGTAAACGGGTTCAGCGTATCCCTTGTACCCTAATTAATAATATGTTTCTTTGTTGATAAAAAAAAAAATTACTCTTGACAAAATAATGAAACTGCAGTTTTAATTTAGGTAGCTGTGGGTTGTGTTTTGTGTTCTTTGTAATTCAAGGACTCCCACAAGCCGTATCATTAACGCCACAATCCTGAGCAGAGAACTTCCTAGTATTATTCTTTAAACTTTGTGATCGCGGCGGAATATATGTTCCTGATCCCCTTGGAGCTTTTGGAGAGTTATGTGGATTGCCCAAAGCATGATGTCTGGTATGATGAAGCGCAATCATTTCATCTGCTTTCAGAAAAAGAAAAATGGTGCAAATGTGTAAGGTAAGGGAAAGAGCAAGCACTTTGTATGTGATAAAGTACCATTTATAAATAAACAATATATGTATATATATACATGAATGAAGAGGAGAGACATATAGGATGAGAACGAGTATGATACTCTAGCTAAATATATGAAACCACATGAAACTATTCAGTAAATTAAAAGATGGGTGTAGGCTATGGATAAAATTTTAATATAATCCATAAGGGAAGAAGAGACAACTTACATGTAACTCCATGTAAGGTGAAGAGGATTGATGAGATAAGAAAGCAGCTGATAATAAGAGAAATTCGGTGC